TGAACATTTATATGAACACGGTGAATGTTCATGGACATTACATGGATATGAACACCGTGAACATCAGAATTACCTCATGATCAATTAGAGGGATCTTAAAAGATTTGTAACTTCCAAATAATTATTAGGGAGTTACATAAAGGTTAAATTACTAAATGATCTTTGTATTCAATTTATAAGTTACATTTGAACATAAAGTAAAGAAAGAATGTGATTGGTTGATGTTGGTTAGTAGAGTTAACACAAAAAATTGGGTTAGTATTTGAACCACCCTCTCTATATATATATATATATATGGAAGATCAAATGATAACGATATATATTTAAAAAAACACAAAGACGAGAGAATCACATATGATTTTACACTAATGTCACATGATTTAGGCGACCTTGCCCGGCAACCTGAAGACGCAACCACAAGTCGCCCAGACACTCTTTTTGACCATTAATGTAAAATCTTATGTGATTTGCCCCTTTTTATGTTCTTTTAAATATGTACCGTTCTCATTTGATCATATCTTTTTCTCTCTATATATATGTGTGTGCCCCTGGTTTATTACCATCATGCTACGTTTTCCATAACTCCTATTCGAGATCATGCTCTCAGAAATTTCTAAAGCCTCCATATCCTGATATATCTAAAAGCCAAAAATATGCTTTGTAATCCCCAAATATTACATTGTAAAAGATCGTATAGTTGTTTCTTCAATGCATTAATTCTTGATGAGAGTTATGGCTTACAATCAACAAGAGTTATGACCCTTGAACCCTACTTATGGCGATCTAAAATGATAAAGACAATATTTGTACTTGTTAACTTACTTACGTTTGTTGTATCATCAAATCTATCCCACGTAAATCACAACAATAAAATGATTGATGACACTAAAATCACCTCTTAACTCACTTATGTTTGTGTATCTTCAAATGAAGACACGATAATCGTACAAACCTTGCTCCTTCATAAATAACTCAAAACTTTATATTACCATAGTCTTGGTGTTTGCTTTCTCCCATAAACACTATTCCTTAGTCGACATACATAACCCTCTTTGCCTTTTTGAGCAAACCCTTCAAGTTGCTCAACATATACTCCCCTTTCTTTAAACACCAAGTCATATTACCTTACAGGATGAGCATGGTAAGGACCAAGAATCTTACCCGGTAAGATTCTTTTACCTGGTAAATGAAGGCGATGATTTTCTTACCACAATAAGCGCTTACCGGGTAAATTGTTGAATATGATACCATTTTGGTGGACTAAAATCTTACCCAGTAAGTCAATGATAGTGTTAAATTTTGTCGGCAAGCACTTACTGGGTAAGTGTTTAAGTCTATCTTTTAGAAAAGCCGTTTTCACATCCATTTGTTTAACTACCAAATCCAAGCAACTAAACCTAAAATTAACACTGTTTGTTCCTTTAGTCCGTTGTGAATCACGCAAGTGTCCAATTCCATATCGATCAGACAAATTTTATCCGTACTGAATGTCGATGTGCATCGTTAATGAAAACTTCTGACAAAATAAATTCAAATACTAATGGGCTCAGACCTACTCTTATTGGGCCTGTAACTCAATGTTTGGCATTTAGTTGGGCTCATTTAAATGGGCTTAATCTCCACATGAATAGTCAGAACAACATTTAAGAAGAATTCTCTCTTAATTACTCCATGTTCTTAAAAAGGATTAAACATAAACAATATCAACATTTTCTAAACCAAACAGCATCTTATATGAATCCACTAACAACATACATTTAGTAATTTGGCTAATATTTATACGACCCGATAAGTAAGTGATAGTGTTAAATTTTACCGATGAGTGTTCACTAGGTAAGTGTTTAGTAAACGACCCCTAAGAATAAGGAAAATAAATTTCATATATTTTTTACTGATTATATTCCAAACATGATTTTTTACTGATTATACTCAAAGTGCCTATCTAAAAAATCAACATACATTTCCTTTCAATCATTGGTAAAATTGAATCTATTCTACGTTAAACAGGAAAATCCGTCGGAAATCCGTCGTAAGTACAATTCGATATATATTTTGCTAGGGAATAAACCAGTGGTAAGAATAGAAAGATCAAAGCTCGTCTTTTTCGGATGTCGGTTCTATCGTTGGTTGGACTTTGGGGAAACACGAGGACGATGAGCTCAAACTTTTGAACCAAATTTCATCAGCAACAACCGAGACGGAGTCATCGTTGCGATTCCATGACCAATGAGCATGAGTGTCATTCAGTATTCTCAATCGACCATGTCCAAAGCTTGCTTCGCGGTATAATGATATCGAAGGTGTTGGATCTTTGTATCTTTAATTTATCCAAAACCGAGTGTCAAGATTAATCAGTAATTCGTATACCAAAAGAAGTATATAACGCTTTATCTTTAGAAACTTACAACATGGCGAGACCTTCTCGATTCCCTCCATCTCCAATTGTTACGTGTATCGGACCGCACGGATTCGCTTTATTGTTATAAACCCTTGTCTGGATCGGAACGTTCACAAAAACGTTGGAATCCCACATATTTAACTTCAAGAGTGTATCAATGAACATGTGATGAAAGACTAACAAAGTGTTCATGCCTACGAACGCTTTGTAAGTCCTTCATATGCTGATTTTCTCCAGTATTTTAACATAATCAAAAGATGAAGGACTTACAAAGCGTTCGTATGCATGAACATGACCAACAAAAACAACGTCGACACGAGAGTTATACAACATCTCTTCCATCGCGACTCTCATGCTTTCGCCTTCTCCTTGATGAGCCAAATTCGAGTTATACCATGGAGCATGGAGGAGCACGACCACCCACGGTGTTCGTGATCGGTCAATCTTAGCCAAGTCCTTAGCCAACCAGTTAAACTGATTCGAATGAACATGAAAATCGGCATATGAAGCTAACATAATAATATGAGTTCCGATGGCATCGAATGAGTAATACAAGTTCGAGTCGGAGGCACTTTCTTTATATGGCATGGGCCAACGTGAATTGTAAGCTTTGAACCCTTTTGGGTAAATGATTGGGAAGGTTTCTTGTTCATGGTTCCCTTGGGTCACCATCCATGGCCTACGACTGGCGTAGGGCTCAACCAACCGTCCGAATGAATCCCAAAGTGGTTGTTGTGTATCTGCATAAGAAAGATCGCCTGGGAGGAGCAAGATATCGTAGTCACTTGCATTAATATGTTCCAAGGTTGAGCTTGTCCATTCAGTCTGTCCAAGGTCACCTGCATCCACACATGTTTTTGCTTTATATATATATATATATATATATATATATATATATATATATATATATATATATCATGTTTCACAATCATAAAAGTAGCTTATTTTTAGAGACTATCAAAATTTACTATTTTGTAGGTCATAACCTATCTTTTTGGAAGTAGAAAAAACCCCTACTCCAAAGAGCTTATTGGGGGTTTTATTCATAAGTCAACTTAGGGGCCGTTTACTAAACGCTTATCCGGGAAAATGCTTAGCAAGTCATATTACCTTATCAAATGAAATGACAAAGACTAAAAATCTTAGCCGGTAAGAGCAAGACAAGGAGTGTTGGCGACATTTAAGTGAGGCCATGTTTAGCCTCCAAATTTGCCGGGGATTAGTCGGGCTTTGGCCCGGACACCCTTACAAAAGAAAGAGCAAGACAAGGAACAAGAGTCTTATCCAGTAAGTGAAGGTGACGACTCTTACCACCGTAAGAGCTTATAATGTAAATTATTGCATACGGTGCCGTTTTGATGGACGAAAATCTTATCCGATAAGTAAGTAATAGTGTTGAATTGTACCAATAAGCACTTATCAGATAAATTTTTGGTAAACGATCCCTTATATTGTCATATCGTTTACTAGGTAGTTCTTATTAAATAAGACTAATTTAACATCTAAAATTATTAACCAACAAATAGTTTTAAGATATCATTTAGTTTATTAGTCAACAATTAATTTATCAGTTAGTCAAATATAGCTATAATCATAGTAGTTATATACATATGTAATTAGTGATTGTTCAAAATTTAGAGTAAATTAAAATTTTGGTCCCTGTGGTTTGTCAAAAATGACACTTTTTGTCCTTGTAGTTTCAAAATTACAAGATAGCCATCATGATTTTAAAAAATGTTCGATTTTGTCATTCCTTCTTACAGCTATTTAAAAATCCATTAAATGATGGACATTTTTGCCATCTTATAGATTTGTTTTGTCTTTTACCCAATTAAATTAGAGATCAAAATCGTAAAACCAATTTTGCGGTAAAAGACAAAAAATCGATAAAATAACGAAAATGTTTCTCATTTAAAGGCTATTAGATAAAGGGACCAAATTAGGACGCTTTTGCAAACTAAAATGGCTATTTCGTAATTCGGAAATCATAAGGATGAAAAGTATTATTTTTGGCCCCTATATTTTATAAATCTTTATTGTTTTGGTCTCTTGTACTTAAAGTAGAAATTATAGGATTGAAATAACAATAATTATAAAATATAAGGACAAAAAACGTAAATTTTAAACCAAAGATATGAAAATAGAAATTATTAACAAATCATACAAACTGAAATTGTATTTTTTTGAAGTATTTTACCAAAAAAGGAAACTTAAAGCATCATCAATGAAAAGCAAAGAAGAATAAACGCCAAAAAGGTGCTCACCAGCTACTGCAAACTCAATGGGAAAGGTGGCAGGCGGCGTCCGAAAGTTAAACTCCGGGCCAGCGCCACCACAACGGTAGTAATACACGGTGGCCGGATCTAGTGGTCCGATTGTCACATGGTGGATCTTCCCGGAAGTATACAAAAAATAGTAGTACGACGTGTGCTCTCCAGTGGCCGTCGACTCATATTTCCCCGGAGTTTTCCCGTACTCAACCGTAGAGGACACACCGCTTCCGCGGGTCACCCATGAAACCTTCATGTAATTGTTTCCGACCAATGACACATGCACCTGAAAATGGTATTTGGCCATTAAAATACATATTTCAAATAGGATTCAATTTTGCCCTAAGCAAGTGACATTTCCACGTAAAACACATAGGATTTCGCTGAAAATCATAATCCATAGTTTAGTTATAATCATGTGATTTGATTGTAAAAATTTGATTTGGTACAAAGAGAGATACCTGTTGAGGATGAGAGTCGGGGCGATTATGAGGGGTGAAAACAAGGGGTCGAGACGGTTGGCGAATGAAGTGTGCCGACACATGATGCGGTCGAAGCAGGAAGAGGAGGAAGAAGAGGAAGAGGAAGAGTAATTTGGGCATGGTTGGAGGTGTAAAATGAATAGAAGAAGGATGTTTAAAAGCAATGAGTTGGAATGGCGTGAAGCAAACTAAATTTATTTACGGATTTTATATATATACACAGTGTGTTCGAATGGCGTGAAGCAAACTAAATTTATTTACGGATATATATATATATATATATATATATATATATATATATATATATATATATATAGGCTTAGGATAATGTGAGACCAGCATGTTTTCGTGAGAATATCTTTTTACACTTGAAATTTCACAGCAAAATGCTGTGAAGGTAACATTCACAGTGTTTTTGCTGTGAAGGCTCGACCTTTTTAAACCTTCACAGTGTTTTTGCTGTGAAGTTTCAAATGTAAAAATGTGGTCTCACGAAAACATATTGGTCTCACGTGAACCCAACCCTATATATACTTGTGATCATGTGAGACCAAAGGTTTTTTGTGAGACCCGTAAGACCAATTATCAACCATTGAATTATATCTATAATCTGAACATTCATAATCACAAAATTGTCACCGTGCAACTTTAGACCATTAAATCATTAGCTTATAAAGTTGATCAATGAACATAAATTGGTCTTACGGGTCTCACGAAAAACTTTTGGTCTCATATGAACCCAACCCTATATATATACACACACACACACATTTGGGATCATGTAACATCAGACTGTTTTTATGAGACCTATAAGACCACCTTTACACTTAAAACTTTCTAGTAAAAACATTGTGAAAGTAACTTTCATAGTATTTTAGCTGTCAAGGTTTGGATTTATTTTTACGTTCACAGTGTTTTGCTAGTGAAGTTTTAAGTGTAAAAATGTGGTCTCACGAGTCTCATAAAAACATGTCGGTCTCACATGAACCCATACATACATACATACATACATACATACATACATACATACATACATACATACATACATACATACATACATAGGGGGGTCTTCTTTTAATAACATATAATTTGTGAGATTTGATATAAAACACAATTTAAATTAGGAAATTAATAATTTTTGGTAATTTTGAATTAAAAAATTTAAATAATGATTATTATGGATAATTTACAAATTTTATCTCTCATCTTTCTATATTCTCTCATTAACAAAATAATCCAAAAAATAAAAAATAAAACAAAACCTAACAAGTAACCTAACACATTGTGAACAACTAGTAACCTAACAAGTATCACCAAGTAAGTCTTTGTGAGTAAACATAAGGTGAACACAAAAGCATAAAAAATATAAGACCAAAAAACTTCATATTACTAAAAACATTTTGTAAGGACTTTGATTTACACTGTGAACAAAATCAATAACAAAGTATGAACACCCATCAAACATCTCCGTTGAACCCAAAACCAAAAATCTATAGTATCACGATGTGAAACACTATCAAATATATTGTTCCAATTAAACATTGTGACCACCTATTTTTTTCACATTGTGATCACCTATTTCGTTTACACAATGTGATACAACAACACTAAGAACTTGAATACACATTGTGAACATTTATATTTTTACACATTGTGATACAATGCGTGAGGTAGGCATCGACACTAAGAACTAAAAACAAAAAAAATCACTAGAAATATTGTCTAACGACTTTAATACACATTGTCAACAATTAATTAATGTTCTATTTAAGAAATTGCGGACTTTCTATTTATGGAAGTTATAGATTTTCTATTTATAGAGAAAATAAATTAATTAAATACATTTATGACTTGACTAAATTAGCTTTTATGTTTACTCAATAAATGAAGTTTCGAGCTATAATAGCCCTAGAATGGCGTGGATCCTCCAGAACATGTTTTGGCTCCTTTTGGTCTGACTCCAATGTTTGATTACACTCTTAAACAATCCAAAATATTTTGGTATCTAGGGTAACCTTTGTTACAAATGTTGTATTCTCCGTCACTAATCTCACAAAGTCTTTCTCAAATTTTCATTGTATTGCATCAGTATATATATATATATATATATATATATATATATATAAATTTGTAGTTTATAAATTTGAGTTGGTTTTTTTACAAACACTCCATCTCCCAATACCCTCGTCATTTCCAATCCTTGTAAGACTGATGGCCATGATTAATATTTTATCTTCATATTGATTAATTGTTCTTCTATTTGAAAATTGTTTTGATCTAAATTGCTTCCGCTTTACATATTTTGTTTAGATCATTGATTCAATATGAGATATGGGATCCACCAAACAACATGATTATCATGTTCGCATTTTCAGATGTTTATGTTATCCATTTCTAGGTGCCACTCAGTACCTAGTTGTGAACCATACACTTTTTCCCAAGTGCCAAAATGGTCAGTATGGTGAGATGCTAACAAGGGTAAGTTTTTGCATTACCCTCTAACAAGACTTGGGAACTAGTTCCACCTCCTTCGGGTGCTAATGTCGTTGGATGCAAATGGGTATACAAAATTAGAAGACTTCTTGATGGCTCGTTGAGTCGATATAAAACTCGTTCGGTGGCTAAGGGGTTGCTTCAAACAAAAGGAATTGATTTGTACCGAGACATTCGGTTCCATGGTTAAGTCAATAACTATCAGATTAGTTCTATCTATTGATTTTTCAAATGTATGATGTGAATAAATTCCTTTCTCCATGGTGATCGTTCTAGAACAGGTTATATAGCTCAAGCCCCAAGGATTTGTTGATGTTTATCAGAAGGTCGGCCCTTTATGGACTCAAGCAAGCACCACGTGTATGGTTCACTAAGTTGTGTAACACATTAGTTATATTGAGGTTTTTTCAATGTGTATCATATACCTCTTTGTTCGTCTGCTCAATGTCAATTATTATGGCTAATATTTTGGTGTATGTTGATGATGTTATTATTAGCCGTAGCTCTTCTGATTTTGATTATGATCTAAGTCAGAACTTACAATGCATAGTTTACCTTGAAAGATTTGGGAAGACTAAACTATTTTTCGGGGGTACAAGCTATATTTTCCGAGACTAGCATAGTAAGATACTCTTATTTCATTTCTTATTTAACTGGAGTATGAATTTAGTTATATAACATTTTTTTTATTCCGATTACATTGGGGCCTATATGGGTCATAATTAATAAACAAAACGCACGATGACACAAACTAGTAATTCTTAACAAGGTTCATCTAACAAGCCTTGGTATAGTTTGGGACGTCGTTGTCGAAGATCTCTAGAAGTCTCTTGATATAGCTTCGAAAAGACGCATAAGATCTCTGTATATAGCGTTTACTTCATGTTTCTAGAGCTTCAATCTTGATCATTGATGTAAATAGATCTTAACCATCTATTTTGATCAAACTTTTTTGTGTATCACTTGTTCTTTGGTGTTCTCTTTTCTGTTGCCTTACTTGTTGGTAGTTTGAGCTTGGTTGACTTGGTTCAAAAAGTAAGACCACACGAGATCACAAGTTCAAGTCGACTACTCAAGCAAAACGTCTGGTTGTTAGCTTCAAGGCCCTATATGATTAATATACAGACACCAACACTTACCCCCCGACCACCCCCAAAAGAAGATGATACGATAMGATACTCCTACATGAAACATGTATAAAGATGTTAAGCTACTAAAGTAGCAATACACAGCCAGATCAAGTAACAAGTACATGGCATCCCAATTGGTAAATAAATATCAGAAAAAGGCACCATGGTTCCACAATGTGTAAATAAACCCACCAGGGAAATAAATATCACAATCATATACAACATGACATCCCCAACAAGATGCCTGACGAAATAAAAACAACAAAAACTCGATTTTGAAAACATAGAAAGAGTGATCGCTTGATCTACAAACATCTCGAGACTAAAACTAGCTAGCAATCGTAGCCATAGGAGTGTCAAGCTAATCCGTTATATTTAGAAGCGCTTTCAGGATCGTGTCGGTCATCCCCTCAGCCAAAGCAAACATGTGGCCAGCACGTGCAATCTCGTGGTACTTGACCCATGGAAGTTGTTGGGCGATGTAACGTTGCAGTGTAACAGGCGAGAACCGATCATCATCACCCATCCATATATGAACAGATCCTTCATTATTTGGAAACGGGTTCTCTAGTTCCATTGGATCAAATTCCCACTTGCCGAATGCAATATTCAAATCACGGTGGAGAGACTCAAATTCTCCTTGTTGTCTTGGTTGCGTCTTTAACACAAAAACAGAAGTATCATAAGGCACATTGACCAAGTAAACCAAACCAAACAAGCCCAATATATCCCATTCGAAGGTGGATCTAAAAGGTATGATGTATACAGAACCGACCTCAATTTTAAAGAGTGGAGTGATTGAGTAAGCCAAACCAAACCAAGAGTGCAGTCTACCCCACCCAGATGTGGGGTTTGGCAGGTATGATGTAAGCTAGACCTCTACCCCAAAAAGTAGAATGTTTTTTTTTTTTTAAAGTATATAGTATTTATATATGGAAAATAGAACAAATAAACTCACATACTCTCCTTACCTTTTGATGAGGTTTGAACCCCTGAACTCCTAGGAGGCCAAAGACTCGCATACCGCTAGGCCAAAGGCCCTTTGGTAAGTAGAACGGCTGTTTCCGTAAATACCCCAAGCTTGTAAAGTATACCGGTTACAATTATGCAGAAGCACACTTGGTATCTTTTTCTTTTACTGAGAATATATGATACTTGGTGTGATGCACAAGGACCCATGGTTCATGGCTTTCTACAAACTTATTGGCTATGTTGCAAGAATACTAGTGCTTGATTTATAGTATGATTGTGCGCTTTAAAATATTTTAAGGGTGTATAGGATGCCTTCATATACGTGTCCCATATAATACAAGTTCAAAACCGAACTGATAAAATAAAGAAATTACATTCATAGTTCATACAGTAAACCAAATCAAACCAAACGAACCAGCATATCTAACTCAAAAATAGGGTCCGGAAGGGGTAGGATGTATGCAGACCTTACCTCAACCATTAGGGTCGAGAGGTTGTTTCCATGAAGACTTGTGCATGAAGCGAAGGTGTGTGAAAACAGGCAATAAGATGGGTAATATAACCGGTATACAGGAAATAAAACAGGTAGAATAGTGATTTAATGGTGTGTGATTCCTGCATCAAGCAAAATAGTCAACTCCTAGAAATGGTATTCTAAAAACCTTCAGTAATCTGAGGTTCTGACATTTTTTGCAATCTACAACAGTGATTTTTTATCTAATCTCCCTCTCCCCTGGTTTTTCTAAATGAAAAAACATAGCAATTACTTATGAAGAAAGCTGATTTTGTATGAAGCAAACTTCTAAATTGTGATGTTGAGTATCATCCTATATCTTAGTACTAGATATCTCGTACCATTTTAGTCCATCAAAAAGGAAAAAATAGACATTAGTAGTTGCTCCCTCTATTCCAAAAGAGTTGGATGTGAAATAGTCGCCCATTTGAAAATGGGATGACCAAAAACAAGCAGTTGTGCATGTGGCCAACCATAGGCAGCAGCCCATCTCCCTCTTTATATTTGGTTTCGAAGTGTTAGCCCACCAATTTAGCCCATCACTAACTCTTATGTTTGTGTCTCCTGATGAAATCGATGACAAAATGGAGATGAAAATGGTGAAGAAAAACTACAATTTAGTGATAAAATAGTGTTAAAAAACCCTAAAGTGTATATAAACGTATGTGTATGTGTGTGCATAAAAGAAACACATTGGTATAAGTGCTTATGCATAAAAAGCATAGGATTGGTTACATTTGCACGCGCATACATTCATTTTATCTTATTTAAAAAGGGCCAATTAGTTCCCAAAAGATGGAGTATAACCTGCCATCTCTTTACTTTACCCCGTTGCATACTAGAAGTCATTATTTCAATATCTTTAATACTAGTAAGCATAGACGATTAAATATTTATAGAGCAAACTCAAAAGCAAGTACCTTTTGTGCTTCTGTGGGAGGGGGAAGCTTCGACAGAATTTCCATGTCAGGGGGAGAAAACATAGCAAGGGATTGAGAAGCGACAGATGAAGCAGGGAACCATGTTTGAGTGTTCCACCAGTAGGTCAGCCATGGTAGGTAGTGAACAACACGCAGACACCATTGGTCTTGCTTAAACATCTGGGAATATACTTCGTTGGATATGTTAGAAGGGAAGTTAGGCCACCAGTGATTAACTACTGGGGCAATGAGAGTTACACCAGCAAGCCTGTTTAAATTATAAATACAACATTAACACAATTAGACTCGAATTACTTATCATCTGTGGAAGTGAATAATACAGGTAGATTATGGTGTCAGAATTATTGCTAAGGATGTATCTGAGAAATGCTTAAAACGGGACTTGATATACACCTGTGTGGGATGTATTTGAGACAAGGCCAAACCAATTCTCCACCCATAGATAATCCAACTACATAGAATTTTGATCCAAGTCCCAGCTGATCAGCAAGCTCCTCGATATCCAAAGCTAAACTCTTCAGTGTTCGCTTAGGGTCCGGATCACTCTCTCCATAACCAGGTCGGTCAAATGAAACAATATACACCCCTAAATCTTCGATAAGAGCCTGTAACGATAAACCAAGTCCGCAAGAAAGTAACTCCTAAGCCAAGATCAAACACAAAACACCCAAAGAGTAGACAAGAACCTACGGATTAGAAGAGAATGGAAGGATACATACCGGAGAGGCTGTATCGGCAAAAATATTATGATATTTGCAAGAGTCAAAACCATGGACATATATTATCTTATACTTGGCTGTATCTTTTGGAACACCATACTCTAAGTAAGATAAATGCCTTCCATCACGAAGCTTTATCCTGGGAGATGTAACAGGAGGACCATCTGGAGATCCACATATCTTTGGAGGGGGTGGACGTGTTGCTTGATAGGCCCATGCCAAAAACCCCGTAAAGAATACGAGCAGTGATTTCTTGAAGATCCCTAAGTAAATTTCAATGGCAGAAGGTCAACTAAGTCGGCAAGAGTAACAAGAAGTTCCGACAGAATGTATAAGAAGCCAGATAAAGCTTCAAACGTACTTGAGCAGTGCTGGGAGGATGTAATTCAAGTTTGCATTTGAAATATGAGTTCCTATAGTTCAGTTTTTAAACTGACTTTCCTTTTATTACAATTTAAGCCACAACATACTGAAGCTTTTACATAAAACCTTGGTTTTTTAAACAAACATGTAGTCATCAAAACATTTACTTGGTCATTAGAACTTTGGGAAGTAAGACTACATCTTTCTAAGAACAAGATATATAGCTCCATTATCACCATCAAATAATGCATTTGTCAAATCTAGTCTAATAAATAAGTAGTGCTTCTTATTTAAGTTGGGTAGTTCTTTACCCTTCCATATCTATCATCAACCTTGGGTCTTTGTTTTTTTTTTGTTGCTTAACCTGGATATTCGACCCGCTATGCGAACCGGCTAATCCCAGGGCGACCACCTGCTTTGCAGATAGCCCGGAGTCACCGCATTTGAACCTCCGTAGCCACAAGGGGATTTTTATCCCTCCTTGGATTTGAACCTGGGACCTCCTGGTACTTTTGACCTTTGGAGCCAAGCTCAAACCAATCAGGCACCACCCTTGTGGTTAAAACCATCGTTTAACCTTTGCTTCGGGGAATATTATTCAATAATCAACCAACAACATGAAAAAAATTGATCTTTTAGGGTCAATAAGTTTTATGCATAATACTTCTGAATGAACTGCTTGATCTGATCATGTTTGACAACAATCAGACACGTCTTCACTCATATTCATATCCAAGATCCTCATTATGGTACAAGGAATCAGACTGTAAAATTGATTAATATAAACTCTTTCCGATCTACCAATGAACAACACAGACACATTCTACAATAAATTTGGTGGAAAGTACTTAAAGAATCTTCAGATGATTTCTTCTTTCTTTCATCAATTAAAAGCTGCATGAGATCAATTATCAAATTCTCTCTTTTATAATTCTGGAGATTCAGACAATAGATCCATGTTTGTTAATGAGATTCGCATAATTTGCTTCAGGACTTGCACGATTCTAAAGCCCAATCTTAAGATTTTGACAACTAAATACAGACTCTGTTCAGAAACTCCATCCATCTCTAATAACCGAATAAAAGCAGAATCAGTTAAAATTCGAACTAAAGACTGAGCTTCACATCCATCAAATTGACATCAGGGAAAAGAATTCTTTAGTAGAAACAGTTGTTGACGATAAATGACTTCAAATATACAACAGATGGCAGCAACAATTTACATCTGGAGGGTTTAAAATTTTAGATATAGATCGAAAGATCAGTCAAAGAGTGGAAAAAACAATTAACACATACCTTTCGGAAGAAAAGATGGAGAACTGGGTTTGGGTTTCCTTGTGTGTGACCTAGCTGATGCAGCTGAGATCTTTCTGGTGACACCAGCTGCCATTTTTGTTGCTTCGATTTCGATGGCGAAAAGAGCGAAGATCGAATCTTATGCTGAATCAACCGGCTTGTTAAGTCTTTTGCGCTGGCCTTCCGGTGTAGTCTACATTCATTTGAAAGTAAATTACAAATATGGTCCCTCACTTTTGTTCGCCATTCAATTTTAGTCCTCCAAACTTTGTTTGTATGTCGATAAGCATGCTGAAACCAATATAATTTGGTTAGTTTGATCGGTGAAATTACGGGTTTGTATAAATGAAAGATGTAAACCTATTTATTTTCTCGTTGATATATTACGTTTATGGAATTCTATTTGTAGAAATATAAAAAACAAACTACAAATGCTAAATGAAATTAGAGATAAATATAGAGGTTTGAAGAACTAGAACAACACTAAGGAGCCATTTACAGAGTATTTATCTGGTAAGCGTTTTTCGGATCATTTTTCTTGACGGATGAACATGGTAAGACCCGAGAATCTTATTCGGTAAGTGAGTGTGACGATCTTACCCAGTAAATGCTTAACAGGTAAATTATTACATATGATATCATTTTGATGAAACTACAATCTGGTAAAATAAATTAAAGTGTTAGACTCTTACTGATAAACGTTTATCGGTTAAACAAAACGGCCCCTTAACTCACATGTGCCTCTTTTGAATCAACTTGATCTTTACATCATATGACAGATGCAACAAGTCTGCGTGAAATGGTTGAGTTCTTGACCTCGAAGACAAAAAGTTAAGTTATTTTAGCTAAAACTGCATTTAATTATAAGTCCAGGGACTATTTTTGTTATTTACTTAATCTTTTTCTAGTTCAAGGTTTTATCAGTTTTGGGATGGGTTAGTATTGGGCCACAGTAAGAATTTGGCCCATATTACAAGCCTGATTTGCTAATTAGGTTCGTATAGCACAAAATTATGGATTAATTAAATAGATTAGTGATAGATTTAATTATACACGTCATTTTCCAATTTGATTTTTCCTTTTTTTATTAATTATATATTAGAAGGGTACTTGTGCAATGCATCGAGACACATCTTGATATTAATGTTTCGTTTTATTCTTTATTTATGTCGATGTAATATGTTTTATGTGGTTTTGAAAAAACGATAATGTTTTTATTTTTAAATAAAATATAAATTTGAAAATATCATAAAAATTTGAAAAAAAAATATCAATATTAATATCAAATTAACTATTTAAAATTTCTTGTTTTGAGTAATTTCTTTAATTCAAAATTTTTATTATAATTTAATTTAACGTAACGAAGTAATTTAATAGATTTGATAATATGATTTCTTATAAAGATAATCATTAAATATTCTGTTAGAACTCAATGATTATCGTAATTATATTCAAGACTTTTTATATTTAAAATGAGATGTTTATCATGTATTTGATTATGTTTATCTGCAGTTAGTTACACGAATTTAAACATGAAACTTTAATAAGTTGTACTTACGCGAAACTTACTTGCAATCTTAAATTTTAAGTAATATGCATCAATAAGCAGTATTTCATGTATAAAAGATAGTTTTTAAGAGTTTTTGTCAAATGCTTTATAATATAGTATAGATTACTCTCGTTTTCTAAGATTTACTTATCTTAAATATAATTAATATGTTAATTAAATTAATTATAAACAATATATATATATATATATATATATATATATATATTTATAGATATATAGAGAAAGTTTGTTATCACATTTGTAAAACCAATGCAACCCAATAAATTGAGATATTTATGGAAATGATGAGAGTTCATTTATTATTATTTGAATATTTATGGAAGATGAATATGGTTCATTAATTGTGATCAATACTTTATATTAGGAAATAATCAAAACTTTTATAAAATCACATATTAATCAAATGAAATAGACGGTTGAGATTGGGTTGTATTGGTTATACAAATGTCAAGGGTTGTATAATAACCAACATCTCTCTCTCTCTCTCTCTCTCTCTCTCTATATATATATATATATATATATATTTCACTCTTTAAGGGGCACGTTCAAATGAAAACCGTGCATTTCTAAGAAACCGTGTAAACCAATTTCGACCAATAGAAAAATTCCATTTTTTTCTAATTAAAATTAATCAATAAAGGTATTTCAGTCATTTACAATATTTACTATTAAATATGAAAGTTATTAATAAATCTTAATTAAGGAAACGTAATAAATAAAATTGTATAAATGGTAACATTTAAATATTTAATTATATTATAATATTAAAAATTTGAATTTCATATATTGTAATCTTTAAGAATCAACAAACGGGTCTTGATAATACAATTGAAGTGTATAATGAAATCATCAAATCATAGATGAACAAAAAGAAATCCACAAATGAAACAGGTTTCATGAACGTGAAACTGGTTCATGTTACAAATAAATTATGTGAACCGAAACATTTTCATGATGAACACGTTGCATTGATTGTGTAGTTGATCCATTTAGTTGGTGAAGAGGAAAATGAAATCGGTGCATTTTGTATTTGGTGCGTCATGAACTAAGTGCATGATGAAACGAGGAAATGATTTTAATCTGCTACAGAATCTTGAAGATTGTAACATGCTCCAGAATCTTGAAGATTGTAAAACTTAAAGGAATGAATCCATCAAATCAGTGGTGAAATAAGAAAATTATTATACATGAAATAAGAAAATTATTGTACATGAAATAGGTTTCATGAAAGTGAAACTGGTTCATGGCGTTATTGAGCATGACTAGTGAAACGGTTGCATAATGTATTTGGTTCGTCATGAAATAATTGCATGATGAAACGGGTACATGAAAAAACTGCTCCAGAATCTTGAAGATTGTAATATGCTTTAGAATCTTTAAGATTGCAAGATTAAAGAAATTAATGCATCAAACCAGGAGCGAAAGAAAGAAAATAATTTTGCATGAAAAAAGATTGATGAAAGTAAACTAATCTTGGAAGAAAATAATTTTGCATGAAAAAAGATTCATGAAAGATCAAGTAGGATGTTACCAAATATTAAATTTTGTTTGCCATTTATGCCCTTACTGTTGAAATAAAATAAATTTTTAATATATATATTTTTTTAATTTCCTAAAATAAAGTAAACTAATCTTGGTCATTGATCAATAAAATGAATGAATGAGATTGGTTTACACGATTTACACAAATGGGGCCGGTTTTTATTTGAACACTCCTCCACTCTTTAATTTGACATTTATATTGTTTTATAGGTTGATTTTCAGTTACAATGAAAATTATGGTGAAAAAGATAAATAATGATATTCGTTATTGGATCAATCCTAATTGAAATCATTGACGGTTTTACGATATATAAATCGAGTTAAATCTAATTTTTCTAAATCTCGTATGTGAACATGAAGAACAATGTTTTTCAATAGTTCACATGTGAATCCTAACATAAGTTCACATATCAATCCTAATCATAACTTGTACTGTTGTACATGAATCAATTTAAATTTCATAACTGAGATTTTAAATTAGTTTAAAATTCATGTGTGAACACATGAATCATAACATAGATTCACATGTAAATCTTAATTATGATTTGTACTTAAGTCAATTTAAAACTTATGAGCGAGATTCTAAATCAGTTTAAGATTCATATATGAATCTTAATATATATATATATATATACACACACACATACATACATACATATATATATATATATATACACACACACATATATATATATACATACACACACACATATATACATATATAGAAGTGGTTTACTTTGCAAACCACCTATTTCATACAAACTATACAACTATTATCAACCAATAGCATAATTCCATTTTTTTTTCTTTATTTTTAATGCATAAGGATATGATTATCATTTGACTTTATAATAAATAATTTTGGTAATGTTTTGATTGTGTATGAATTTGAAAAATTAAATAGATTAGATGTTTTAGGAAACGGTCAATCCTTTGTTTTTAGTAGATACTTACTACCATTAATATTTTTGTATCCCTTTTATTAAATAAAAAAAATACTCCATCAATTTCAGAGTTTATTTATAATCAATTTTTTCTTAGAAATTTATTTATTTAATTTTCATGATAACAAAAGAAATCGTTATTTTTTTTTCAATTTACAAATCCTTCCAGATTTATTAATAATAAAGGTGTGATATTTTCCAGATTTTGATTATATTGTTTTGTTTCATTTATAAAATTCATATATAAATTGATTTCCTCACAAATTTCATTAATGAAATCATCTTATCTAGTTTTCAAAATATTTCATTCATGAAACTAATTTTACTTTGGTTAGGAATGATGAAACTAACTATATTTTGTTTCTTTTGTTTATTTATCGTTAACCGTTTCATTCAAAGATTTAAAGTTTCATTATGAGTTATGCATACAGTTTCATTATGTGTGTCATACTGTTTCTTTTTTATGTTTCATTCAGGATTAACTGTTATGTTGGATTCCTTCAAGGATATTGCTTTAGGTCTCACTAAATTTCAAATGCAGTCAATTTTCCCAACTCTTCACATTTGTAGCTTAAACATTAATCAATTTGCATTCTGTTTCATTCCATTTTATTTTGTTTCTTTTGAGTTTCATTCAGCATTAACTGTTTCATACAATTGCCTTTTGGTTCATTCCATTTCATAATGTTTCTTTTGTTTATTCATCATTAATCGTTTTCATTCAAAGATTTAAATCAGCATTAACTGTTTCATATAGTTTCATTATGTGTTTCATAATTTTTCTTTTATGTTTCATTCAGGATTAACTGTTATGTTGGATTCCTTCAAAGATACTGCTTTAGGTCTCACTAGATTCCAAAGGCAGTCAGTTTTCTCAACTGTTCCTGAATCTACAAATGAGTCACAACCCAATCCCATCTATGTCTAAATCTTATATGTACATATCCTCAAGTATGGCTAGGTATGTAAGTCAAGTTGAATTGGATGAAGTGACGGATAAGGTGACTGATATGGAGGAATCTCTAAAACCCTTAGAGCTAATTTGGCCAAGAATCACAATGATGCTTGCATAACTCAAGCAATAGCTATGA